GGGCCAAAGTTGGCAGCAGCCTTGACAGGAGCGGCAAAGAGACATGTCTCCGGGAGGAACCCCAGCTGGTTATCGCATGGTCGCGGGGTACGCGACCTGCTCAACCACCTGAGGTCGAGCCTGGGACGGCCACAAGTTTCCGACTTGACAGATCATCTGAGCCGCTACTTCAAAGGCTCGCGGCGACGATCTGGAGAGAGCGTCAATGACTATATCTCTCGTAAATCGGAGATATACCTTCGGGCGTGCCAGGCCCTTCAACGCGTGAGTCCACTACAGAAGGTGCGGACTACACCAACTACGAGCGCTACGACGTGGACGCCGACATGGAGCCGGAGATCCAGCTATGACGCAGGGGACAATGAGGCCGAGGAGGAGAACAACACCGGCGGGAACGCCGGTGGGAATGCCGCACCCGAGCAAGGACAATGGTGGGAGGACCAACGTTCCAACTGGTCGGGCGGATGGAGCTCCAGCTGGTGGGGATCTCAGTGGTCATGGTCGTCATACCAGGACTATGGAGACTACGAGCGCGAGGCTGCGGTTCCCGAGCTACTTCCCGACTATGTCCAAGGGTGGTACTTGCTCCACGACTCGGGGCTATCAGGCCACGAACGTAACGTGGTGCAGACGGCCTTACAGGGCGACTTCTCGGTGGCCCGAGTCGCACAAGAGCTCAGGAACCAGTGTGCGGTGTTGGACAGCCAAAGGCGTGACTTTGGCAATCGCGGCAGCAGCTACCTCGGCGACATCCAGGAGAACGAAGCCGAGGAGAATGCCACCATGGACGACAGCTTCCTCGGGGACCTTCCGGACGAGGAGATGGAGGCCTGGGAGACGGCCGAGAACGAGGCACGGAGGCCATGGCGGCCATGTACCAGGCGAAACGGACTTTGAAGGAGGCGCGTCAGCGCCAAAACAGCGTTCGACTGTCGCGCCAGTACTTCAGGACAAACTCCGGAAGCTCATCGTCGACGCCGCCGAGACCGAGGGATGATAGCAAAATCCATTGTCTACGCTGTGGTCAGTTGGGACACAGGGTAGCCAATTGCCCACAGCCTTCCCCGAACCAGTCGGCCAAAGCGGCGGAGCAGGTGGAGGCAACCTCTTCCTTCATCTGCTACAACGACGTGCTGGAGGACCAGAGTGCCATGGCAACCGAGGTCGAGGCAGCTTTCATGCAGGGCGTGAGCACCGCGGAAGCCGTGGCTCAGGGCAAGGCGGTGATCGATGGAGGAGCCACAAGGACTTTGGCATCGTGTGCAGCGATGGAGGCCATCATGGCGCTGAATGCAAAGAAGAATGGACACAATGGCCTCCTGAAATTGGACAAGCAAGACTGCCCAACATTTGGTTTCGGCAACGGCGAGTCCAACAAATGCACGGCCACGGTTCAGTTGGCCATCCGCGCCGATGAGAAGCCAGGTGCACTGACAGTGCACTGCCTCGACCAAGGCGGCGGACCTTTGCTTCTCTCAGTGGAAGCACTTCGACGCCTCAAAGCAGTGATAGATTTTAGTGAGGATTTAGTTTGCTTTAGGGCTCTGGACGTAGAAAAACTGATCCCTCTGGAAAGATCCCAAACTGGCCATCAACTTTTGCCAGTCACCGAAGACCTCTACAAGCATAGCTTGAACACCAAAAGCGTGATTCCAAGCTTGAGGGATTATGTACAGCAGTCCATTTAGGGACAACTCCTTCCTTAGTTCCGAAAGGGATGTGAAGGTACCAGAGCCACCGGAACATGGGGTGAAAAACACTCTGAGCACAGCTGCCAATGGCAGCGACCTGGAGTTCAGGAGTGATGTTTTGTGTAGTGTGCATGTGAGTGATGTGGAT